CAAAACTAATGAATGGATCATCATACAATTTAGTGGAATGATACATAATAATCGAAGAAAGACACCATTCATTTTTTCGGAGGGAAAGGTCAAAGGATAAGGTCAGGGTCACGAAAATTCGTTTTTTTACCCTCGAGTAGGCCTATAAAGGGAATTAATGTAATCGCCCCACGTTCAGGTAGCACTCAATAAAACAATGTGCCTGAACACTACTGGCGATTTTTATATTTTCTTGAGGGTATTCTGCAGCACTAAATAAAATGAATGTGCCTGAATATGACTGGCGATTCCATTATTTCATTATTTTGCTGCAGCCTGTGTATTGTTGGTACAGATAAAGGCACTCCACTCCTGGAGTAACTGATAGGTATTACTTAACTGTGTCCCTAGATTGTTTGAAAGCAACGGTTTTTTGTTAGATAGAATATCGACCAATACACAAGCAGTGTATGGGTGATTCCATTATTTTCTTTTATGCTCGGGGATAAAAAAATGAAATTTTCCTAAATTTGACCTTGTCCTTTAACTTTTCCTTTCTAAAATTTATTCAACTATTTCCTAGATTATTATGTACCATTCCACAACTTTTATAATGATGCATTTCTTAGTTTTTACAGAAAGACAGGGGAAAAAACATAACTCCTTTGCGGAGGAAATAATGGGTAGGCCTACTAGTGGTCCAGCCATCAGAATGTGACGTGCTAAACAACATACTGGTAGGCAAAGAAGGTAATAGTGTGGGTATTGTCGTTTTATACGATGAACACTACTCCACTACTTAAAATGGCATGTGTTTGATAATTCAATGAACGAATATTATGTACCATTCCACTAAATTTTATGATGATCCATTTCTCTTTTTTTGCATAATCGTGCTTACAGACAGACAGAAAGTCAGGGGTGAAAACATAACCTCCTTTGCGGAGGTAATAATGAGTACTAGTGGTCCAGCCATCAAAATGTGACGTGTTTAAACAACACTGGTAGGCATTGCCACATTCAAAGATGAACACTACTCCACTCGTCAAAACGAACGAATAAAAAGCAATCAGATTAAGCTGACGACAGGTAAATGGGAAGTGTCTGAATGCCCGCCGCCAGAATGTCATTTTGAAGAATGGACTATCTTCATATCCATTAGAATACGTTCAAATTAATTACATTTATTTAAAGTACTGTATCTATTAACCTTTATTAGACGTGCACATACATAAATTGTCAACTTTACAGCATTGTTTGTTTTTCCTGAATAATAAATAAATAAGATAGTATGAAACAAACTCCGAAAAAAAGTGATACAAGCCTTCCTGAAGATGAACTAATAGATTTAAGTTCGAAATATAGAATCAACAATGGCTTGTATCACTTTTTTCGGAGTTTGTTTCATACTATCTTATGTCAAACTTATCGGTGAACTCCATAAATAAATAAATAAATAAATAAGTACCGGCACATCTGTTTTTATTGGTTTGGGCAATTTTTTCCATTCTGCTTTTCAATGGCAATCCAATATGTTACTAAATATACATTTTAAGCAATTCAAATTGAATTTTACGAGCTCAATACTGATGGATAATTACATTAAATGTCATTATTCCCATAGCGTATTACGTTTAGTGCGCATGTCAGTTATAAATACAAACCATTTTATGTATGCTACCGTCTGCTGAATTAATGAAACACGTCATCGTTGTTACAAATACTTTGAGCTTTTAATCTTCCCTACCTCCTTTGCGTCTGATCAGCTCGTCCCAATTTCAAACTTGATCAAAAAGCTGAAAAATCACCGGGTCAAAATTAATGAATCTGTTATCGTTTCCAAATCGATTGCAACTTAAAAGTAGGGTAGGCTGAACCGGGCTTACGACATATACGCATAAGAATGAAATAAAAATAGAGATATTTTATTAGACTACCGATAGTGTTGATAATAATGATATTGATAATGATGATATATATATGCGCCTTATGAGATGAAAAACAAGTGAAAGATGTAGGTCAGAGGTTCATGAACCTCAGGACTGACTCCGGGTTGATATTATGATAAGCGTACATAGAGAATTGGTTTTCTCACAGACTAAATTTATCATCGATTTATGACACTCTTCATAATAATCCTATTAAAAGTTCAAACATCCTGACTATCCATCCATAATTGATGTGCTGTGTGCGAATTTGCATAACGTAGGATAGTTTGGTAAAATCTCATGAATTATTCATATTCATCCTTATAGAACGTATTTTGCGCACGCGCTGTTTTCAAGTTTGTGTCAGCCTCAGTGATCAGCTGTTCTGTGCATCGCGAGTGATCCTGCTAGTGTTCGACTTTGATAGAACGACAAACTTTTCCTTGCATGAGTCTTGTTGAAAGCAATGCAAGGATAAAACTATACTTACTGTACGTTCAGTCTGAAAATACAAAAAAAAATTTAAATAGTTGTTTTTTTTAATTTTTTTATTTATTTTATTTTTATTTTATAACAATCGTCCAACAGGAACTCTTCGTTCCCAATTACAGGCGAAAATTGCAATAAACATCAAAAATTTAATCAATACAATAAAATCACAAGATAATAATAATAATAATAATAATAATAATAATAATAATAATAATTATTATTATTATTATTATTATTTCTATAATTATAATTAATATTGCTATATTTACAATAAATATGTAAATTACTAAAAGGTATTTATAATTACAATTAAAATAACGTTTAAATAACACAATTACAAATTACACTTCAAACACACAGCATAATGAAAAATATAATTATTAAGGTGACATTTAAACATATTTAAAGAGTTAGAAAATATATCAACTTCAGGACATTTGGTAACAAAATCATTATACAAACTAGATAATCGTGAAATAAAACCATTATTTTTTAATTTGTTTGTTTTATTTGTTTAATTAACGTATGATGAGGACTAGGAAACGCGATTCTCACACGATTACCAATACGAATACATCTTGTATACATGATGCCAAGAAAAAATAACATGATGCCAAGACAAAAAAAAAAGATAAGATAATTAAATTCACTCACAACACATCAGTTATCTCACAAATTTGAAAACACTCGTTTTACATGCGTTTAAAGATTTCCCCCATAGTCTGGGCTTCAAGAGGGCAATAGGCCTCCAATTTGGTTTTTTTTTTTTTTTTTGGCCTATTGACGGATCATCTATGTTGCATGGATGAACCCTTCGTGTGAAACTTTGCTTATCGCAATCAGTAGGCTTAATTCAACAAAGGATCCAGTGAGCACAATGGTCTTTTATATGAGTAAGGCATACTTTAGTTGCAGAACATGCAAGTATTATTATAATCACAACATTGAGCCTTCATTCCGTCTGTTACCGGTATTAACATCCGGGTCTGTTTTATAATTATCGTGAACTGCATAAATATTTCAAAGTAAACATAAAAAAGTGATTTATTTATGTTAGGCAACTTGTTTATTTTGTTTTGTATATGTTGTTTCTTATGTTAGGCATGAATAAAAGGAACAATTCAAAAAAAAAATATATATGGCGTATGTCTTATTGCATGACCACAATTGTAAATGTGTATTGGTCGAATTTATGAAATAAATGAATGCATGAAATAACGGATGATCACATATGATGGATGAATCCTTCGCGTTAAGCCTCGTTTATCGTAAATAGCGCCAGTGGACCAGAGTGTATAGGCATCATTTTCGAAGTCCTGCTTCGCAGCATCGAGCGAAGTTTCTTAACTTACAATAGTGGAAATGTGATAAACTTTAATTGAACAACAAATTAGTATTGTATTTGCAGACTGACGGTAAATGTATCACCTCAATGTATTAAATCCATCCCCTGTTTTATTTTTGCACTGATTAAAATACAAGCACATACAACGACTGAATCGTCATAGGCCTATAAAGAAGATTATGAATAATTAATGAGATTTTACCAAACTATCCTACGTTACGCAAATTCGCGTGCTGTGTGACACTGCACACACAATGAAACTAAATTAATCCTCATTGAAAAGAAGATGTCGTTCATTCAACCACACTAATACCAGCTAATACTAACTTGTTTCATGCAATCTAATTGACTCGATATAAATCAACATATTATGTACACTGAATCTCGATCAAATAAGTAAACAAAACAGCACACGAATAATAAGAGCTCACGTTATAACATTATGCTATTATTTATGTTAATATTAATCCTTTCTATAAATCATTATTTATTTATCTTTATTATCAGTATGAAGGTTAGTAGTAGAAGTAGTAGTAGCAGTAGTAATATACCGTATGTAGTATAAGTAGTAGTACAGTAGCTGCCGAAGTACTAGTTTTATCATTATTATGATTATTATTTATTACAATATAATATATATATATATAATAGTTTTGTTGTTGCTGTTATCATCATCATTATTATCATTACTATAATAATAATAATAATAATATTAATAATAATAATAATTATTATTATTATTATTATTATTATTATTATCATCATCATCATCGTTATTATTCTTACCATTATTATTGATTATCCTTTTAGTAGTTAGCTGAATATATCTGTTTTTA